GATACAGACACACATTTTAAATTTGCTTATGCGAGACTGTCCTGAACCAATTATAATCTTTGATAATTCAGCCACTACATGCAAAAACACCTTCATTCATCGGGGACAAAAAAATCAACCTTTCATGGAAGGAAGTTGTGAAATCTACAGCACCATCAACAAGTTCAACTGGGTATGTTTTTGTTTGAACTTCAGAAAGATGATGTGGTTACACTAGTTTATATAACTTTTGTGGTCTCATAATTAATATTTTTGCATGGACAATCAACTGGCTGAATGGTGAAATATATCATATTAGTGAAATGGGGTGTTGGGTATAAATCCCATCCCTGCTTTAGTATTACATTGATTTGGATTCAATAGATAATTTATTGCTATTCTTTTCTACGTCTCTTAGGAATAGTGATACATCTCAAACCAAAGGTTCCATTGTTAATGGTCGATGTAGATATGAAAGCTTTCTTCCTTCAGCCCATGCTTAGTGGCTCAACCCACTTTCATTCTGATAGGTTTCCAGTTTCAGGCTTTCAGCACATCTATCAATGGTCTGAAAAGCTAGCTTCTAGCCCCACAATAAACCTCCAGTTATTATGGAATTCTATGTTTTCTTTTGCTTGATTTCTTGGTATCCAATAGGATACACGGTTCAATCATCTGAAAGCATTTTACATTTGTTCATGATTTTGGTCATGCTAAACTATTCCAGCTCTATTTAAAGAGAGCACAAAGACATGACCCAAGAAATAGACAAGTACAAAAATAAAGGTTTTCTTGCTTTACTGTTTGTCTATCATCTCTAGATGCTTTTTTGGTCTTGAATGTTAACTGTTTAAACATAAATTTTTCTGAGTTACCCCTGTTATTTGTTATTTACTGACTTGTATTGCTAGTTGTTTACTTCAAAGTCTCGTTCGATATGGAAGACTTCGTAACAGCGGTTTATGCTCTTTTAGGACGTTCACTAGTTATCCTTTCATATGCTTTCTCATCTTACCTAGTTTATGTCTATTTCTTTATCACCAGAGTCAAACGACCTGCTGGTGCAATTAATGGTTCAAGTAGTTCTGCGCCAAAGAAGGGCCGGGGAGGTGGTAGCATGCCGAACCAGTTTGTTGACAGAGCTTTTCAAGGTCTGTCATATGGAGGGAGAAGTACAAGAGGTAGAGGCAGGGGAAGAGGTTTCCGCGGAAGGGGAAGGGGAAGGGGAAGGGGATATCACTAGCCCAGGTCTGACCTCAGTGTTATCTGCGAAACACTTTTCTGTGAACTAAAAGATGCAGAGACGTTGGATTTCGTCTTAGAGATGCAATTTTGAGAAGTAGTCCGATGATTTGCGGATTGGGAAGCGTAGTTGATCTCGTACATGTGATGATGTGGTTTGTCAGTTTTGATGTGGCAGTCTGAAGCTGATCTTTCTCAAGATATTCTCACAAAGCAGCACTTGATCCGACCAACCTTTGGTGGCAAAGAAAACGAAAAGAAAATATAGTGACAAGATTCTAATGGAGCATTTGTAGTAATTGTATTTGTAATTTTCATTTGGGAGACATTGTTTCTTGTTTAATTTTGTGATTTTTCATTTAATTTATTGTTGTCCTCGTTTTAATACCCTGTGCATTTAAACATTTTTTAGCATGCCTTAATCCAGTTTAACAGTTTTTTTGAATGACGTTTGACTGTATCCAAGGTTAGTTTTTATTTATTTAACCTGAATAATAGTACGCTGAAAATTGTAGTATCTTTGCTCTTGTTAAAGAAAATGCGCATTTTTCTTTTAAGTACACTCGAGAAGGATTATAACCATTTTAAAGAGGGAATGAGCAATTTGTCATGTTTTGAACATTCCCACGACCTTGTTTCCTCGTAAATTTTCATTAAGAAGGTGAAAAATATACATTGTCAAACCCAAAGGATCATTATAATTTAAGAACTAAACAAGCATGATTAACAAATATTTATGTGTAATAGATATGTACTTGTATTAATGACAAAAATGTGATTATAAGTACGATTGGAATCAGTGAAAAGCCAATAACAGCGATAAAATGTCAAAATGATAGATTTACGTACTGTCTTCGCATTGTTTTATACCGTGGTTGAGAAATTAGAAATGTGAACTTTGGTCATTCTTCTTCAGCTTAAAAGACGTGGATTTTCTTTTGAATGCTAGAGCTAGAATTTTAAGAAACAAAATAAATAAGGGACTATTCATAAGAGAAAATTATGCTTTATTTTGAATTAATACCTTAATATGTGGAAGATCTTTCAATTCTTTTTAGATATGTCAAAATGATTTGTTGTTCTTAACTTTTTTTTTTGTCTATATGTAATTTATAATTGTCAAATTATCGTTTACTGATACCCATTTAGAACACCCATTTTTGCAATAAACTGAGAAGCAATAGTACTCGTAAGAAAAATGTATTGGTTCTAAAGACTAGTTTAATTTATTATATAGAACACAATTACAAATAAAAATTTATTTGACAATTGGAACTGGTACATGTTTTGAAGAGAGGTAATAATCGAATGAATAAATAAAAGGTTTAGTTGAAAAACAAATGGTCCCGTAGCTCAGTTGGTTAGAGCGTTGGTCTTATGAGCCGAAGGTCGCGGGTTCGAGCCCCGCCGGGACCAATATATTGTCAAGTCTATTCTGCCTACCCTTTTCTTTATTTTTTTGGGGTATTATCAATTTTAACCCGCGTTTGTTAGCCAAAAAAATGTATAAAATTTGTATAATTTTTGTATATAACATAAATAATGTATATATATATATATATATACAAAAAATATATATTTTTTCGACTATTATTTTGGAAGTGACGATACAATGTCATTATTTTTTTCTTTTGTAGGGTCGAGGGCCCATAGAATTGAGCGCAATCTTTTCTCCCACCTTTAAACTTTACAGTATTGCATATCAATAATGATGTACTAAAATATTAACCAACTAACCCAAATAATAACAATATTTAATATTTTGACAGATATATATGTTCTTGCTTGATGATTGATAGCATTCTTATGTGGGTTGAATTGAGATTGTGGGCAATTCTTTTCTCGTTTGAGTCAGTTATTTTGTGGCCATTCTTATCATTTCATATCTCAGTTGAAATGATATGATTACCCTCTTAAGTTACTGGTTCCTCTATCTTATTTTATGTGATGTACTTTAACTGGATACATGGTATAAAAAAGAAAGAAAAACTTTCAAAATTTGTGATCTCAAATTTTAAAAGTTAAGTTATTTTTAAATTAAAAAATACCATTCTTTGGAAAAATTTAAAAAAAAAGCATGATCTATTTTTCCACTCATTTTCTTGCCACAGTGAGTAACTCTTGATTTTATCAAATTGTTGACATAATTTGTCTTCATTTATTTTAGTACTACCCTACTGAGCTTAATGATTGATGTCGACTGCTTGAAAATTAGCATTCGCTTCAAAGCTTTAATTTGATAGGTATCATATCATGAGTATTCTCTTATACTTTTAAGCTTTGACTTTTCAATAGTTGGCAATTTTATAAACATTTTCTTCCTTTTAAAGACTTTTTTTTGAGTAAAGTGGGCTCATAATAGAGAAGAAAGAGAATTTTTTGTGGGATTGAGAGCTTAAACCTTAGGGGCAAGTATCACATTTGATCTATCAACACCAAAAATAATTATATTCGCTAGCCAATATATAAAATTATATACTGATTATGTATAAAATATGCACATTTTTTTTATGTTATACATTATTATATAAAATTATATATTATGTCTGCTTTATTTTTTAGAGCAACTATATTGTGTAGCTTTCCCTAAACCTTAAAGGGCGTTTAATTCATATACTAGTTATGCAATTATTGTAATATAAAAATCTTTTATATAATGTTTAATTATATAAAAATTATTATGCGATAATTAATAATGAAAAATATTACTATACATGAATTACTTACTTTAAAAGGATATTTAATTTGGAATCATTTCAGGAGAGAAAGGCCTTCCCAATTAAAGCCATGTTGTGGGCTGTTTGTTAAGCAGTCGTTGTAGCAGTGCATTGTTGACTACTACAGAAATAAAAATTTGATTGAGTTGTTAAACCCTTTTGATTGAGGGAAGAGTAAGCTTTTTTCCTAATACATAAAACCTGATTTATATTCTATGGTTCTTTTCACGTTCAACTCCTTTTATAGTTTGTTTGGATGATTGTTACATATTGTTTTGTATTATATTGTATTGTATTGTTTTGTTTTGATGAATATAACGTTTGAATAGATTGTATATTTGTCGTCGTTTTGCGATACCATGCCTAACAATATAAAAATAAATTTATAATATTATAAAGAAAAAGTAGGGTGAGAGATAAAATTATTATATAAAAAAATAAGATAAATGATGAAATAAAATTATTTAATAATAAGGAAGGGCAACATGAGAAAAAAAAATAAGCTAACGACGTGACCACATCAAATGGGTCGTTATATAAATTGATATTTTTCGTCGTTACGTAACGATATATTTAATAATACGATATAATAAAATTTAAGTAACAATCAAAATAAACACTGTTAGAAAAAATCCTAATCTGTTGTCAAGCTGAATTCACATATTGAGAAAATGTATAATACACCCCCCCCCCC